AATAAAAATTAAATTTTTGGCTTTGCAATTATCATTTTTTTTTTTTTTTTTTTTTTTTCAACAATTTGGGTCGTCTCCCCCCGAGGAAAAGGGTGCCCCAAAAAAAAAAGGGAAAACCCCCCAAAAAAGAAAATACTTTCATCTCATTCAACATTTTTTAAACCACATCACACTTTATCACTGTTTTGGGCAGAGGGCTCAAAATACAACATTTTAGAAGCATATTTATTTATTTATTTATTTATTTTTTTAAAAAATTTGAGCACACATACAGAGGTACAAAAAAATACGGGAAAGAGCAGAAATCCCAAAGCCCCCTTTATACTAGGGCAAGAAATTAGGGGCTGGTTTAAAAATTTAATTTAAAATTTTAACAAAGGGGAAGATGAAATCAGTGATAAAACATTAATGTAAAAGGTTCCCTATAAAGCACGGGTCAAGGGGTTTTTATGCTTTGGGTTTGTACATTCAGTAAAATTTGGAGAAATTCTGTTAGGTAGTGTTTTTTTTAAAAAAAATAATAAATTTAAAGTTTGGGGTTTTTGGGTTTTAACTTTTAAAGTGATAAATTTGGGTTAAAGAAAAAATTAAATATAAAAATTTAAAAGGGTTCAGTTATTCAGTATTTATTTGGGTTTTGGGGGTAGTAAGTGATCTTTGAGAAGAGACTTAAATTTTAAAAACGGGTATGTTTTTTTTATTTTTACAGGTAATGAATCCATTTTTTAAAGGGCCTTTTATGTGCATTGAGTTTTTACATAGTGGGGGAATGGACACGAGGAACAAACAAAGATGATCTGTTTTTTTGTGTTATGGTCATGTGTTCCGTTTTAGGTTGGCAAGAAAGTTTGAGGGGAGGGTTTAATATCAAGTTAAGGGGTTTTAGTATGTAATAGGGCAGTAGTAAGTAAAGGATGTTTTGTATGGTGAGGAGGGTTTTGTGTATTTTAATATTTGGGGGAGTGGGGCGGGCCCATAGTGAGAAAATTTGTTATCAATTTTAAAATGCAAACCTTTTGTTGGGTAATTAGTGGTCTGAGTGGTTCTTGTTGTTGAGGGCCCCCGCACAAAATTTCCCTAGGTGGGGATAGGGTAAATAAGAGGGGTGGGTATAGGGCCGGGGGGCTGACTGTGGAGCATAGTAAACCCTAACTTCGATAGATGGGCCCACAGTCTTGGGAAAATTTTCTTAAAATTTGTTGTATATGTGTATGAAATTTTTTAGTTTTATTTTCAAGGGGATTCCTAAAATTTTCCCCTTTTAGCTTTGTATAGGTGGAAAAACCCCTTTTTCATTATGTTTAAAAGGGACATCTGTTTGCTCGTTTTCCAAACAGAATTTAAGTAGGTTTTTTCAATTTTTTAGGTAAAGGTTTTTTAGTTTTTCCTCCAGGTAATATTTTTTTTGTAATTCGGGGATTTACATATTGGTAGCGGACTGGGCTCCGGGGGGGAGAAGAAAATTGTAAAATGTCCCTCTGCAAAAAGTGTTGGGTTTTAGTAATTTTCGAAGCTTTGGAAAGGGCCCCTTTTTTTTAAAAGGGAGAAAAGAGAAGAAGGGGCCCAAAGGACACTTCCCTGTGGGACCCAACTGTAATTGGTTTGCAAGGGTATAAAGAAACCCAATATCCCTCCAAACTCCAAAATCCCAAACCCCTCCTTTAAAAAATCAGGCCTTGTACTTCCCATTTCCAGGACTCAAGTCCACTATAAGAAAAAAACGGGTTTCCCCTGAAAAACCCTTTACTAATATTAAAACCCCGCTCACACTCCAAACAAAATCGTCCCGGTCCCAAAATATCTTCGCCCATTCACTCCTAAACTAACACGCTCATGCACAAATTGCTGAAGTCCAAGCCCCCCGCCCACAAAAAACCTCCTTTACCCCCCCCCTTTCCAACCCTTTCCAAAAGGGCAACCCCCACCCCCCTCTTTCCTTTCCCCCAAGATTTATATGCTTTCCATGTCATTCTTTACTTTTATTTCCCTTCCTCTAAAAACCAAACCCCTTCAAAAAACCCCTCCTTTTGCCCTCTGACAAAAAATTTTATTAACTCCACAAACCCTTTTCCTAATTTTCCCCACCTTTTCCCAATTTTCTGCATAATATTTTTCCCACCCATTGCCCTTTTTGACAGCCCTCTCCACTGCCTCCAACCGTCCTTTCCCCGGGTGCTGCTTAAACCCCCCAACTTCAAAATCCCCTATAAAAGGTTTTGGTTTCTACTATACTTTTATACATTCCAAATTCCCTTTTCCTCCATAGAAACGTTTTTTGACCCCACCCTATACCTCAACGCACCACTCCCTTTTTTTTTCCCCCATCAAACCCATGATTAACCCCCAAAAATTCATAAATCCACCGCCGACAACCCCAAAACCCCCAAATACGGGAAAAAATTCCCCTTCTTCCTACTCCTCCTCCGCAATTTGAAAACCAATTTTTCTTTATCTAAATCAAATTTTTTACCCTTTTTAAAAAATTTTCTCTTTTCCCATGTTCACTTTCAAATTTCTAAACCCTTTTCACAATTCCAAACTCCCTCCCCCTAACCTTTTTCAATTTTTCTTTTGAATCCCCAAAGCACCCGTAAACATCACAAAAAAATAACTGTGTCCCAAATTTCCCCTTTTGAATTTGATTCCCCATAATTTAATTTCCCCCCCCCTCTCCCGAACACCCTAGCATTTACTTTTTTTACCCAAACCCCCTTAAATATATTAAACCAAACCCTGGGGACATTTTCACAACCCCCGTCTAAAAACCCCACTTTTAACCGGGAAAAAATTCCTTTCCCCCCCTTTTTACACAAACCCCAACCTGGGGCCTCACTACCTCATAAAAGCCTTTACAGCATTTAAAATAACTTACCACCTATTCCATAAAATTTCAACTTTTGCCCCATTTCTCCTCTATCCACTCTATCATTGCCTTTTTTAAATCCATAAATCAATAAAAACCCTTTCCCCAAAAATTTTTCTAAATACTGTTTTACATATATGCTTCAATGTAAACACTTTATCTACACATCCCCTACCCACTCTGAAGCCTCCCTTTCTCATCCGCAAATTCCCACATTTTTGTCCTTTCCTCTAATCTTTTAAATTTTAACCAAAAAATAATTTTTTCCCGGTATACTCAGTAAACCTTATTCCCTAAAAATTTTTACAAACTCTTTTGTCTCCCCCTTTTCCCCTTTTTTTTAAAGGGGCTATAACATGCCTCCCCAAACCTTTGGGACCCTTTCCCCCTTTCATACATTTTTTTTAAAAAAAAGTACCAACCACTCCAACACTAAATCCCCCCCTCTTTTTAAAATTTCTGTCCCTGATCCCATCAATCCAGCCCGCTTTTACCCCCTTTCCTTTTAGGGGGAAAACCCCCACGTACCCCCACCACAAATTACATTCTACCCCTTCTTCACTCCCAAAAATGGATAACCCTCCCTGGCCATGCTGAAAATTTTCCGCCTCCCTTTTTTCCTCAACCCTTTAAAAAATTCCTCAAAATATTCCCCGCCCCTCTACCTAAACCCCCCCTCTCCCCATCTACTAAAACCTCCCCTAAATCTAATTTTTTTCGGACAAATCCATACTTTCCCTAGGATTTCTTAACTTGTTTAACTCACCTTTCCCAAAATTTTTTTTTTTTTCATTTAAAATTTTTTGACAGTGCCTCTCCCCTCCTTTTAAACTGCCTCCTTTTTCACCCCCTCTCACCACTCTTTTTACCCTTTCCTTTTTTCTCTCCATATACCTGCTCTTTTTTATAACACCTTTTTGGCTTTGTAAAAAAAAACCCCTCGTAAGCTACCTTTTTTTTCCCTTTAAAACACACCCTTTTCTTCATCATTCCACCAATCACTCCTCTTTCCCCCCTGCCCCCCCCTCCTATAACCACAAACTTCTGCCCCCCATTCTAAAAATGCATTTTTAAAAAAAAAATTCCCAAACCCCCTTTAACTCCCCCACTTCTCCTCTTTGCACTACCCACCTTTCTGCCCAAAAGTCCCCCTTATAAACTCGCCCAACTTTTCCCCCTTTCCCCTTTGTTTATTTCACTTTCACCTCCCTCTTTTCTTGTTGTTGCCACCTTTCCCCTTTTCCCCCTAAAATCTTCTCTAACCCGTAGCTACAACTAAATAATGATCTGAAAAATCAAATTTCCCCTCTTTTTAAAAAAGTACATCCTGGAGCCCAAACCCCTCAACCTTTTATCCCCCCAATACATAAATCTAACCAAAAAATACTTTCCCTTAAAGGCACATCATACCTTGATTTTATTTATCCTCTTTTTTTATAAAATATGTTTTTTACTTATTTCCAAAATTTTTTTCTAAAACATAGCCAAAATTTAAAGGCTCCCCCTTTTTAACTTTTAAACCCCTAAACCCCCCCCCAAAATTTTACCTACTCTCCCTCCAAATTTTTTTCCCCATTTTAGCATTAAAACCCCCAACCACCTTTACCTACATTTGATTCAAAACTCCCCACCATTCACTCAACTTTTCCCCAGAATCCTCTCTCTCCCTACACTTCTCTCTTCTTTAGGTGAAAAAACCTTACATAACCCCTTTTCCATCCAATCTTTATTTTACTCCACATAATCCTTGAATTTATGCATTTGTAGTCCCTCTTTTCCTGCCATAGCTTATCCTTCAACATTATTGCTACTCCTTCTTTAGCTCTAACTCTATTGTTATTATTATTATTCTGTTATTATTACTAAATGGTTTGAACATTTAGAGAGGATCGAGCAAAATAGGATGACTTGGAGGGTGTATAAATCATAGTGTGTGTAAGGCCTGGGGAATGGAAGGTAATTGAGTTTGGTCCAGGGAAGAAGAGGACATTTCTTATTCCATGGATCAAGAGCTGTTCATGGTCATGAAGGAACCCCTTCACCCTCTTTCCTTGCTGGAAAAAGCAGAAGACAGTAAATGGGAACTGGAAATGTCTATTTTTATTCAAGATTATTTATTAACACTGGTGTTTTTCAGGGCCATTTCTACAGTTGGAGTGCATGTCGAATCAGGTTCAAAGGGATGTGTCGTAAAGTCCTTTGCTTGGCGAGGCACGTAAGTAATTCTCTACATTTTTTTTATTATATTATGGCTTGTATACATGTTTATTCAGATAAGCTAAAACCTGCACTTAGAAAAGAAACCTTATGATGATATTTTGGTCCATCATTAACCATTGTAAAGCCATTTGTGATTGGACCACCATCCAAATTGGTAAATTGTTCCAGACACAGTATTGGCCTTTTATTCTTTGAGTTCATTGAATCTGCTTCATCACCTGTACTGTAACTGGTGGAGAAGTGTAGGTCGTATACAGCTTTTGAAAAAATGAGATAACTGGTTTTGTGCTGCAGCAAAGTCCATTTAATGTTTCAGCTGTTAACATGGAAATGTGTATACATAAATATTGCACATACATATACATGTATGTGCAATATTTATTGTTCTAGTCTTATGTATTATTTATATTTTGCCTGAAATGTTCTGAATAACCAGGGTCTTTCCATGTGTGCTATTAGATATCATCCGGTATTATTTAAACACACTGACTACCTCCCAACAAGGAGAAGGGGCTACTAGCCCCTTTCTCCTGAAATTTTAACCTCCTCTTATGATATGCATAGTTTGTGGAGGAAGGATTCTCTCTCTCTCTCTCTTCATCTCTCTCTCTCTCTCTCTCTCTCTCTCTCTCCTCTCTCTCTCTCCTCTCTCTCTCTCTCTCTCTCTCTCTCTCCTCTACCTCTCTCTCTCCTCTCCCCATCCGCTCTCTCTCTCTCTCTCTACTCTCTCTCTCTCCTCTTCTCTCTCTCTCTCTCTCTCACTCTCTCTCTCTCTCTCTCCTCTCTCTCTCTCTCTTTTTTTTTTTTTTTTTTTTTTTTTTTTTTTTTTTTTTTTTTTTTTTTTTTTTTTTTTTTTTTTACTGGCCATATCCCACCAAGGCAGGGCGACCTAAAAAAAAAAATGAAAGCTTGCCTTTTTAAATTTAGAAATGTATACAGGAGAAGGGGTTACTAGCCCCTTGCTCCCGGCATTTTGGTCACCTCTTACAATATGCATGGCTTACAAAGGAAGAATTATGTTCCACTTCACCATGGAGATAAGAGGAAAGAAACAAGAACTAATAAGAAAATAGAAGAAAACCTGAAATCCTGCATGTTTATGAGACAGAAAAAAGACACCATCATGTGAAACAATTACAGGTTTCTGTTTTACACTCACCTGGCAGGACGGTAATACCTCTCTGCGCGGTTGCTGTCTACCAACATACTACCTAGGATTTTTTTTTTTTTTTTTTAAACAAGTCAGCCATCTCCCACCAAAGCAGGGTGACCCAAAAAAGAAAATCCCCAAAAAAGAAAATACTTTCGTCATCATTCAACACTTTCACCTCACTCATGCATAATGAGTGTTTTTACAGAGGTGCTCAGAATACAACAGTTTAGAAGCATATACATATAAAGATACACAACATATCCCTCCAAACTGTCAATATCCCAAACCCCTCCTTTAAAGTGCAGGCATTGTACTTTCCCATTTCCAGGACTCAAAAGCCCGGGCTACAGGGTCCCCCATTTTTTCGTATTTTCCTGGCAATCGTAAAATTTGCCAATCATAGGGGTATTTTCGTATAAACATGGACTCGCTTTTCGTAGGTTGACAGGTTGACTCGCGAGTCGTAGTTCGTCCGGGACGCGTACGCACGGCATGGGCCAGGGCGGCAGCCAGTCTGGCATTTGTTACCAGTGAGCGAAAGTCCCCTCGCATGCTCCATCAAAATTTTTTCATAATGTTCCATTTATTTTAGTGCTTGCAAGTACTAAATAAGCTACCATGGCTCCAAAGAAAGCTCCTAGTGTCAAGCCTGTGGTAAAGAAGGTGAAAAAATACGATTAAATTTTAAAGAAAACCATCATTGAACAATATGGAAAGTGGTACAAGGTGGCCGAACTGTCCAGGATGTATAAGAAACCCTACATAACCTTATGTTCCATAGGGGGCCAAGAAAAATAAATATAGGATGCGTTGTTGCAAAGGGAGTAACTAGGGCTGACAAAAATGAGATCACCAGTACTGGAAGAGGTTGAGAAGTTATTATTGGTGTGGATAAGTGAGAAACAATTAGCAGGAAGATACTCTTATGACTTCGTTTATTTGTGAAAAGGCTAGGGCAGTTGCATGAAGATTTGGTAAAGAAATTGCCTGCAAATAGTGGTGAAGTGAGTGAATTTAAGGCCAGAAAAAGGCTGGTTTGAGAGTTTTAAGAACCATACTGGCATACACAGTGTGGTAAGGGCATGGTGAGGCTGCCAGTTCGGAACCACAAGGCGGCTGAAAAATATGTGCATGAATTCCAGGAGAAACATAAACAGTGAAGGACTGAAACCTGAACAAGTGTTCAATTGTGACGAAACAGGCCCTCTTTTGGAAGAAAATGCCAAAGAGGACCTTCATTACACAAGAGGAAAAGGCAATGCCAGGACATAAGCCTATGAAAGACAGGCTGACGCTAATGTTCTGTGCTAATGCTAGGGGGATTTCAAAGTGAAGCCCATTACTAGTGTACCTTTCTGAAAATCCCAGAGTGTTCAGGAAAAACAATGTTAGAAGAGTAAATTGTGTGTGTTTTGGAAATCTAATAGTAAGGCATGGGTCACGAGGGAAATTTTCATCGAGTGGTTCAATAAAAGTGTTTGGCCCTAGTGTGAAGGAGTATCTTCTGGAAAAGAAATTGGATCTCAAGTGCGTGCTAGTAATGGACAATGCACCTGCTCATCCTCCAAATTTGGATGACCTAATTTTCGAGGAGTTTGGGTTCATCACAGTAAAGTTCTTGCCCTGAATACCACTCCTCCTTCCAACCCATGGACCAGCAGGTTATTGCAAACTTTAAAAAACTCTACACAAAAGCAATGTTTCACGGGTGCTTGACTTTTGACCACAGACACTCACTTGACCCTAAGGGAATTTTGGAGAAACACTTTGGCATCCTCCACTGCATAACCCTTATAGTATGGCTTGGGAGGGAGTGACTACCAGGACTTTTGAACTCTGCCTGGAGAAAATTGTGGCCAGATTGTGTGACAAGAGGGATTTTGAAGTTTAAGGATTTGGGACTGACCCTAATGAGCCTATGTCTGTTTGTAAAATAAATTGTGGCACTGGGGAGTTCCCATGGGGTTGGATTGAGTTTGGAGGATGTGGAAGAATTGGTGGAATGACCACAATGAAGAGCTCACCACTGAGGAGCTGCAAGAGCTTCACAGGAAGAGCAACACATTGCAGCTCAGAATCTTGCTGCAGAGAGGAGGAAGAGAGATGGAAGAAGGTGCCTTCTTCAGAATTAAAGAGATTTTACTATTGGGGTAAGATGAAAGCTTTATGGAGAAACAATCACCCTAACAAGGTTGTTGCAAGCCAGGTTGGACAACATGTACAGTGACAAAGTCTTGGGCCATTTGGGGAAGTGTTAAAGAGATGCCAGAAACAGAGTCTCTCCACAGTTATTTTGTGAGACAGGACTCCAGTGACTCTCAAGGTGGTCCTAGTGGCATTAAGAAAACAGAGAAGAGAAGCAACCCCAGAAAAGCAAATGGTATCCTGAGGTGTTGATGGAAGGGGATTCCCCTTCCAAACTGTAAACAATCCACTCTCTCTCCTCTCCAGTCTCCATACACTAAGAAGAATCTCCAATAAAGGTAAGTGTTATGCTGTTAATGTTTCATTCATCATTTCCCATTGTATTGTTTATGTACTACATGTATATTTCATGTTAAAAATTTTTTTGTTTTAATACTTCTGGGTGTTAGGAACGGATTAATTGTATTTACATTATTTCTTATGGGGAAAATTGATTCGTAAATCGTAAATTTTGTTTATAGTAACGGCTCCAGGAACGGATTAATTACGAACAACGAGGGACCACTGTATATAAAAATAACCAGTTTCCCTGAATCCCTTCACTAAATATTACCCTGCTCACACTCCAACAGCTTGTCAGGTCCCAAATACCATTCGTCTCCATTCACTCCTATCTAACACGCTCACATACGCTTGCTGAAAGTCCAAACCCCTCGGATTATTATCGTTATTTTTATTACATTATTATTATTATTATTTTTTTTTTTTTTTCAACAAGTCGGCCGTCTCCCACCGAGGCAGGGTGACCCAAAAAAGAAAGAAAATCCCCAAAAAGAAAATACTTTCATCATCATTCAACACTTTCACCACACTCGCACATTATCACTGTTTTTGCAGAGGTGCTCAGAATACAACAGTCTAGAAGCATACACATATAAAGATACACAACATATCCCTCCAAACTGCCAATATCCCAAACCCCTCCTTTAAAGTGCAGGCATTGTACTTCCCATTTCCAGGACTCAAGTCCGACTATATGAAAATAACCGTTTCCCTGAATCCCTTCACTAAATATTACCCTGCTCACACTCCAACAGATCGTCAGGTCCCAAGTACCATTCGTCTCCACTCACTCCTATCTAACACGCTCACGCACGATTGCTTGTGAAGTCCAAGCCCCTTACCCACAAAACCTCCTTTAACCCCCTCTCTCTCCAACCCTTTCGAGGACGACCCTACCCCGCCTTCCTTCCCTATAGATTTATATGCTTTCCAGTCATTCTACTTTGATCCATTCTCTCTAAATGACCAAACCACTCAACAACCCCTCTTCTGCCCTCTGACTAATACTTTATATTAACTCCACACATTCTCTAATTTCCACACCTCCGAATTTTCTGCATAATATTTACACCACACATTGCCCTTAAATAGGACATCTTCCACTGCCTCCAACCGTCTCCTCGCTGCTGCATTTACCACCCAAGCTTCACACCCATTAAGAGTGTTGGTACTACTATACTTTCATACATTCCCTTCTTTGCCTCCATAGATAACGTTTTTTTGACTCCACTTATACCTCAACGCACCACTCACCTTTTTTCCCTCATCAATTCTATGATTAACCTCATCCTTCATAAAATCCATCCGCCAACACGTCAACTCCCAAGTATCTGAAAACATTCACTTCTTCCATACTCTCCCCTCCCCAATTTGATATCCAATTTTTCTTTTATCTAAATCATTTGACACCTCATCACCTTACTCTTTTCTATGTTCACTTTCAACTTTTACCTTTACACACATTCCCAAACTCATCCACTAACCTTTGCAATTTTTTTTAGAATCTCCCATAAGCACAGTATCATCAGCAAAAAGTAACTGTGTCAATTCCCTTTGAATTTGATACCCCATAATTTAATCCCACCCCTCTCCCAAACACCCTAGCATTTACTTCCTTTACAACCCCATCTATAAATATATTAAACAACCATGGTGACATTACACATCCCTGTCTAAGACCTACTTTTACCGGGAAGTAGTCTCCCTCTCTTCTACACACCCTAACCTTGAGCCTCACTATCCTCATAAAAACTCTTTACAGCATTTAATAACTTACCACCTATTCCATATACTTGCAACATCTGCCACATTGCTCCTCTATCCACTCTATCATATGCCTTTTCTAAATCATAAATGCAATAAAAACTTCCCTATCTTATCTAAATACTGTTCACATATATGCTTCAATGTAAACACCTGATCTACACATCCCCTACCCACTCTAAAACCTCCTTGCTCATCAGCAATCCTACATTCTGTCTTACCTCTAATTCTTTCAATTATATTATTATTATTATTATTATTATTATTATTATTATTATTATTATTATTATTATTATTATTATTATTATTGGTGGAAATGCTCTGATTCAGAGGGTCACTTGAACTATGCTGCATGCAACACTTCAGGCAAGACAGTCATTGAACAAATGATGTTACTTGCTACATCATGACACAAATGTTTCAACTGAAGCTCAACACACTGTTCTAGGAACAAATAGATGCTGCTGTAATAAGTACCTGACTCGTCCTTTTATTGAATGTCTCCCATATGGGTCATTCAGAGATGTACCTTATTTAAGGTACATCACTGAATGACCCATATGAGCTTAGAGCTTTTTTGTGAATATAATCATAAAAACAAAGGGAGACTAATAATCACGATATGCTTTTAATATAATGGTGTATGTTGAAATATGATGTCATTAACAATGTAATAAAGGTGTCCCCCAAACAGTTGCCAATGAGTAGGTGTATCCTATGACTTTGTGCAAGAACGACTGAGCAAGTTAAACCTAACTAAAAGCACTGGTCCAGAAAACATCCTGGCTAACTTTCTAAAAGATGGTGCCTCTTTCAGGGCAAGAGTAAAAGAACAAGGAGACTGTGGTGGGAGAAACGGGTGGAGAGAATCGTGGAACACATGGACCCTGAGTTTCTCAAGATAAGAACTCATGGAAAGACTGGTAGTTTACTGGTAAACTTTGTATCACCCAGTTCTTCTACTGCCACCACCACTTACCAGGTTGGATCAGTTCTCTGCCTCTCATATCTTGTCCTAGTATTATAATTGGTAGTGGTATTGATGAGTACGATACTTGTACATCACTAGAAATCTTTATTGACGAAATGTTTATCCTCCTTTGCAGGCTTCATTAGTTGAATGCAGAGGTGAATCACACTTTTGGAAACATCAGCTTTGATGGAAGACAATGTGGATAAAGTGAAGAGGTACTTAATGTAAATTTAGTCTCTCAGCCTTTTAGACTAAAAGACATTATCTTACACCAAGATTACAATAAACTACCTCTCTACTCTGTTTACTTTGGCTTCCACCTTGACTGGTGTCTCCAGAAATGTGAGTCATCTCTGTATTTGACTGATGAACCTTGCAGTGCATGTGAAACATATCCTCAATAAAAATTATTAGTGTTCACATGGGTGTTACTCATTAACTTGTTTTAGTGTATGTATACCTCATTACAGTGTAAGTACACTTTGAAGTACAGAACAACCACTTGTGAAAAAATAGTGAACTTCCAAGCACTTTCATGAGAAATCACAAAAGTGCTTACCTGGAGTTTACCTAGAGAGAGTTCCGGGGATCAACGCCCCCGCGGCCCGGTCTGTGACCAGGCCTCCTGGTGGATCAGAGCCTGATCAACCAGGCTGTTACTGCTGGCTGCATGCAATCCAATGTACGAGCCACAGCCTGGCTGGTCAGGTACCGACTTTAGGTGCTTGTCCAGTGCCAGCTTGAAGACAGCCAGGGGTCTATTGGTAATCCCCCTTATGTATGCTGGGAGGCAGTTGAACAGTCTCAGGCCCCTGACACTTATTGTATGGTCTCTTAACGTGCTAGTGACACCCCTGCTTTTCATTGGGGGGATGTTGCATCGTCTGCCGAGTCTTTTGCTTTTGTTGTGAGTGATTTTCGTGTGCAAGTTCGGTACTAGTCCCTCTAGGATTTTCCAGGTGTATATAATCATGTATCTCTCCCGCCTGTGTTCCAGGGAGTACAGGTTCAGGAACTTCAAGCGCTCCCAGTAATTGAGGTGTTTTATCTCCGTTATGCATGCAGCGAAGGTTCTCTGTACATTTTCTAGGTCGGCAATTTCACCTGCCTTGAAGGGTGCTGTTAGTGTGCAGCAATATTCCAGCCTAGATAGAACAAGCGACCTGAAGAGTGTCATCATGGGCTTGGCATCCCTAGTTTTGAAGGTTCTCATTATCCATCCCGTCATTTTTCTAGCAGATGCAATTGATACAATGTTATGGTTCTTGAAGGTGAGATCCTCCGACATGATCACTCCCAGGTCTTTGACGTTGGTTTTTCACTCTATTTTGTGGAAGGAATTTGTTTTGTACTCTGATGACGTTTTAATTTCCTCATGTTTACCATATTGGAGTAATTGAAATTTCTCATCGTTGAACTTCATATTGTTTTCTGCAGTCCGCTGAAAGATTTGGTTGATGTCCACCTGGAGCCTTGCAGTGTCTGCAATGGAAGATACTGTCATGCAGATTCGGGTGTCATCTGCAAAGGAAGACACGGTGCTGTGGCTGACATCCTTGTCTATGTCAGATATGAGGATGAGAAACAAGATGGGAGCGAGTACTGTGCCTTGTGGAACAGAGCTTTTCACTGTAGCCGCCTCAGACTTTACTCTGTTGACTACTACTCTGTGTTCTGTTTGTGAGGAAATTATAGATCCATCTACCGACTTTTCCTGTTATTCCTTTAGCACGCATTTTGTGCGCTATTACGCCATGGTCACACTTGCCAAAGGTTTTTGCAAAGTCTGTATATATTACATCTGCATTCTTTTTGTCTTCTTGTGCATCTAGGACCTTGTCGTAGTGATCCAGTAACTGAGACAGAGAGGAGCGACCTGCTCTAAACCCATGTTGCCCTGGGTTGTGTAATTGATGGGTATCTAGATGGGTGGCGATCTTGCTTCTTAGGACCCTTTCAAAGATTTTTATGATATGGGACGTTTGTGCTTTCGGTCTGTAGTTCTTTGCTATTGCTTTACTGCCCCCTTTGTGGAGTGGGGCTATGTCTGTTGTTTTTAGTAACTGTGGGACGACCCCCATGTCCATGCTCCCTCTCCATAGGATGGTAAAAGCTCATGATAGGGGCTTCTTGCAGTTCTTGATGAACACGGAGTTCCATTAGTCTGGCCCTGGGGCAGAGTGCATGGGCATGTCATTTATCTCCTGTTCGAAGCCATTTGGCATCAGGATAATATCAGATAGGCTTGTGTTAACCAAATTCTGTGGCTCTCTCATAAAAAATTCATTTTGATCTTTGACTCTCAGCCTGGTTAGCAGCTTGCTAAAAACTGAGTCATATTGGGACTTGAGTAGCTCACTCATTTCCTTGCTGTCATCTGTGTAGGACCCATCTTGTTTAAGTAGTGGCCCAATACTGGATGTTGTTCTCGACTTTGATTTGGCATAAGAAAAGAAATACTTTGGGTTTCTTTCCATTTCATTTATGGCTTTTAGATCTTCCTTCGATTCCTGACTCCTATAAGATTCCTTTAGCTTAAGTTCGATGTTTGCTATTTCTCTGACCAGTGACTCCCTACGCATTTCAGATATATTGGCCTCTTTTAGCCACTCTGTTATTCTTTTCCATCGCCTGTAAAGGGAGCGCCTGTCTCTTTCTATTTTACATCTACTCCTCCTTTTTCTTAAAGGAATAAGCTTTGAGCATACATCGAGTGCCACCGAGTTAATCTGTTCTAGGCATACGTTGGGGGTCTGTGTTGCTTAGTCTATCTTCCCAGCTTATATCGTTTAGGCCTTGATTTACTTGGTCCCACTTTATGTTCTTGGTGAAGGCTTCCTCGTGACTAATCTCATTTTGTCGGTCTGGGGCTCCATGCATACATGTCTGAACCTCGATTATGTTGTGATCTGAGTATATTGTTTTTGATATGGTGACATTTCGTATCAGGTCATCATTGTTAGTGAAGATGAGGTCTAGTGTATTCTCCAGTCTAGTAGGCTCTATTATTTGCTGGTTTAAGTTTAATTTTGTGCAGAGATTTAAAAGCTTGTGTGTGTGTGTGAGTTCTCGTCAGAGCTGCCTCCTGGTGTTATCACTGCAACAACGTTATTTGCTATATTCCTCCATTTTAGGCTCCTCAAGTTGAAATCCCCCAGGAGCAAGATGTTGGGGGCAGGAGCTGGCAGATTTTCCAGACAGTGGTCAATTTTTGACAGCTGTTCCTGGAATTGCTGGGACGTTGCATCTGGAGGCTTGTAGACTACCACAATGACTAGGTTTTGGTTCTCGATCTTTACTGCTAAAACTTCCACTACATCATTTGAGGCATTAAGCAGTCCACAAGTGACTCTGCAATATACAGGCCAAATCCCCCCCCCCCCCCTTTTTGCCTGTTCACTCTGTCACATCTGTATAGGTTGTAACCTGGGATCCATATTTCGTTGTCCAAGTGATCTTTAATGTGGGTCTCTGTGAAAGCCGCAAACATTGCATTTGCCTCTGCAAGCAGTCCACGGACGAAAGGTACTTTGTTATTCGTTGCTGACTTTGGACCCTGTATAATTGCAAAGAAGAATGTCATCGACTGGTGGTATTGGTGGTGCTGGGGGGGGGGGACTTTTTTTTTCCGGCACTAGTATCTGTATCTGTGCTTGGATAGTCACTATGTTTTTGCAGTAGTTGGTCTGCATATTGTGCACCTGTTTACTGTGATCTTATTGCACACCTAAAAGTGTTTAAGTTCTCATTGTATATACACAGAGGCATTTAATTTTTCAGTGTATATTACTCATTTTGTATTCATTAAGATGTGTGATTTCTCTGTATATATACACATTGAATGATGTAAACTTATCAGTACTTTGTGGTACATATATACCTAGAGGGTATTCTGTGGGTCATCACCCCCACAGCCTGGTCCATGACCATGTGCATGCAAGTGGAGAGTCATTCATTGTCATTCTCAGTTTTGCAACTTCCTTCGTTTGGCTTTCAAAAAATTGTTTTTCCCAAAACTCTTTGATACCAGCTGTCGTTCTATCTTTCAGGTTTTAGAGTTGATTTTTCCTTTTTCTTATTTTCAACAAATTTTGTTGAAAATAAGAAAAAGTTTTGGAGTGAGATTAATAAGTTGAGGAAGCCTAGGGAATGAATGGTTTTCACAGTTAAAAGTAGGAGAGGAGAGTTGTTAAATGATGATTTAAAGGTATCAAGAAGATGGAGGGAATATTTTGAGGAATTGTTAAATCTTTATGAAGATAGGGAAGCTGTGATTTCATGTATAGGGCAAGGAGGAATAACATCTTATAGGAGTGAGGAAGAACCAGTTGTTTGTGTGGGAGAAGTGTGTGGGGCAGTGAGTAAAATGAAATGGTGTAAAGCAGCTGGGATTGATGGGATAAAGATAGAAATGTTAAAGGCAGGTGGGGATATAGTTTTGGAGTGGTTAGTGTTGTTATTTAACCCTTAAACTGTCCAAATGTAGATCTACGTCCACGTGCGGGGGGCTCCGAACGTACATGTACATTTTTTTTACATGCTTTCAAATGGGGAAAACCAAGGTGGAGCGCTACGCATGTGAACATAGATCTACGTTTGGACAGTTTAAGGGTTAATAAAAGTATGGAAGAGGGTAAGGTACCTAGGGATTGGCAGAGAGCATGTATAGTTCCTTTGTATAAAGGCAAAGGGGACAAAAGAGAGTGCAGAAATTATAGGGTGTTCGGGAGAGGTTTGGGATAAATTATGGGGAATCAAATACAAAATGGGAATTGACACAGTTGCTTTTTGCTGATGATACTGTGCTTATGGGTGATTCTACAGAAAAATTGCAAAGGTTAGTGGACGAGTTTGGGAGTGTGTGTAAAGGTAGAAAGTTGAAAGTGAACATAGAAAAGAGTAAGGTGATGAGGGTATCAAATGATTTAGATAAAGAAAAATTGGATATCAAATTGGGGAGGAGGAGTATGGAAGAAGTGAATGTTTTCAGATACTGTATTTGGGAGTTG